TACCTTCATGAAGTAAGGGTTTATTTCAAAGCTTTATTTTAAGATGTAGCCAGATGTACCAAATAAGTCAATGAACCCAGGCAGTTATTTATGTATCTCAATATCAACACACAACAAAGGATGATAGCAATCTGGACCGAATATAATTAAAAGTGCAGGCAACAGTTTATTCCTCAAAACGTTAGATTGTGCTTGATATTTATTTCGTTGTTGATCACACAATATTGTGAGGTTTAAAATGTCAGCAGTGATTTACGTCGCAATTTTGACATTTGCATTTTCACCAATTAACAATAAGATGGGCAGGAACTGGAAGTCAAAATTATAGATGTATTCCTTAAAAAAGTAAACAAATGATTGAAGATTAGAACTATATGAAATGCATAAATAAATAAATATATCTCTATCACACGACATATAGGACACTGTTTTTTTTCTTCCACAAACACACACACTGTCTCGTCTGTGTAGCCGTTCTGCTGATTTGAAGCTGAATCCTTTACACTTCTCACAAACATTTAAGAATTGGCGACTGAAACTGACAAAGACAATCTGGCACAAACTGAATTATGTTATCATGGAAACTGACACGAGCGAGGATAAAGGAGTGTTGCTAGTGATGCCCACACACTGTCCACTCTGTAGAAAGTGCATTACACAAAGTAATCTGCATTGCATGGCTGACATACGAACCCCTTTCAATACCAAATACAGGGAACATTTTAGGGTGAACAATTATGTCATATTCAAAATAATAAGGATTTCTCGAACAAAATGTATCTAACTAGTTCTAAATAGTTTTAAGGCAACCGAACTTTATAACAATGTAGTGGCAAAGGCATCGTAAGCAGGCACTGCTGAGTGGAAAACCTGAGAATTGACAATCAAGGCAATCACAAAGCAAATCATGCATCTCATTATATCTTTATCATAGAGTAAAAATGTTCAAAATATTATTTTTTTACAACATCACTAGTCTTATATTAAAGTGTATGCCAGAAGCCGGAACATTTAATTTTCAATGCATTCTTAGACCGGAGCAAACATGTTCTTGCCATTAGGAGAACTGCATCTAACAATCCTGTGATGGCGTCAATGATGGTTCATACTTATAGTATGCCTCGTTGGATTCATATCAATATCTAGCTTTTGTTTCTGGAACTGGAGCACCTATTTGTTGCTTGGTTAGGCCTCATTTAACATGTGGTCATTTGTTCTGATTTACATTACAATGATTTTAAAATACAGTCTATGCCAATGCCAAAGTGGCCTTGGTTTCCTCTATCTTCTGTCACAATTAAAACAATATTAAAAAAACGTTTCTGCAGTGCAGCAAGTAACGTGATGTTTCAGTGTAATGTGTGGGTATAATATTGAAACAGTACTTTCATGCAAACCCCTGGATGTGTTTTATACGGTCCTTATTTAAATACTGTGAATTAATCGTGTAGATATATTTGTTGCAACTCCATCGTCGCACACGGTGAAAATGTACTGAAAATCTTCATAAGTCCCAACAGGAATTTATTTCGGCAGAGCAGAGGAGTCACAACTTGGGACATGGTGGATAATGAAACTGCCATATCGGGGTTGGAGCGTCCACAGACACAGAACAGGAGCTTCAGACATCTTTTTATTTGGACAGTTTGCTGATGACTCGAATCAGAGCCCCGTTCTCATCCTTCAGCCTCTGGTTGTCTGACTTGAGCTCTGTTAACATCTAGGACAGCAGAGAATAGGAAATGATATTAGAACACAATATAATGATCACATATTCATATTTGTGAAATGGTTTGTTGATGGTTTCTCATTTAAAGCTTTGCACATTACCAGCACTGTTCACTCTAATGGTAAAATATCTTCAATGATAATTAACCACAACAGTGGAGGACATGCTCTAGAGTACTTAATCATGCAAGTGAGAAGTGACTTTGTCAATATGGTCTGCATGTGAAAAGTGAAAGAGAACAACGTCAGAGAGAGAAACTGAGAGAGGGTCAATTTCCCCAAAACTAGGTCATGTCCCTCATGAGGAGCGATGACTAAAAATGTCCAACCTCTTTGCCAAAATATTTCCCCTCTACTCAAGACAAACAATAAACCTCTGCTCTTAAGCTGTCACACAGTACTGACAACTGGTGAATGAGGCGCTGCATTAATATGTTCCGTTTTTAGTCGTTCGGATTAAAAAATAAAGTCCCATATAAATCTTATTACTATAGCAATGCCTCGCTCTCAATGTTTTAAAAAGGAATAATTGAACATTTCTGGCTAAACAAACCAAGACACACCCAGTGCTTCCCCCACTGGTACAGGCCTTGCTCATTTGGAAAGTAATGATCTCACACATTTCATTTCCTTTGGTAGATTGACTAGGAATGACTATTTCCCTGGCAAACAACTTTGCATTGATTACACAGAACATTACACAGGGCCCACATTACATTTGACTGCAAGATCAATAACCGCTAAAAAACGTGTTTACTTTATGTTACACACCGCTACTGTTGATGTCTAAATCAGAGGATTACCAAAGAAAAAGAAAGCTCCTAATGCAGTTTTCATGTCATGTGAAGCCCCATGAAACATGGATGAAGCTGAAAATACACTTCAAAGTGAGACAGGTTTTGGGGGGGAAGGGGGTCAGAAGGGGTTGCCCTCTGATAGCCATAAAGCAGATTGGGTTAAAAGAGAGCAGAGGGAGATGCACACCACACACACACACACACACACACACACACACCAACACACACACACACACACACCACACACACACACACACACACACCAACCAAAAGGAGTCCTTAACGCAGTTTGGTGTCTACAAAGAGCAGTTTTGTGTAAGTACTCCAAGTGGAGTTTCATCCGGCTCATCTCTCCCTGACCCTCTCATGTATCAAAAAAGGGGGAACTGAATATTGGTCCGAGAACCGCTTGCAAACTTTCTCATCTTTACATCCACTAATAGTTATAAAATATCTTAACTATAAGGGAAGGGAAACGTTTCGATACGTATAGTATTGTGAAGTCGTAGAGTGGTGAGATGTCGGGTCCAAACTACTCGTGTTGGGTTTCCTCTTGACCGCAGTATAAAGGGAAACGAGCAACGTTTGCAAACGATAAAGAAGAGGTTATAGATAGACACATTTATATCCAAAAGACTGCTCAGGAGTCGAGACATAAAGAGAAGGGGCATATACCCGCTCACTCACCCGCCGCACGGACACTCACCTAGACAGAGACACACTCAGAAAGAGAAACGTGTGCCGGACGGAGGGACGTACGAAAGAGACAGTCGGGAGACATAGAGAGAGGACGGAGGATGGAGACAGGTCCGCAAGGGAGGAGACGAGTCGGGTCTGGGACGCCCTCCCACTTGCTTACAGAGAGACCGACTCTTATTTCGTTACGACGCGCAGGAGCGGGCGGAGCGAGACTCTGCGGAGGTACGCCTCTGTCTCCTGGAGACTAGGGGACTGTAGTCAGACAGGAGGAAAAGAAGGGGAGGAGAGGCAAAGAGTCGGTGTGATTGCAGATGTGAGGGAGAGGAAAGACACGGAGATGTCGGGACAAGAGCAGGAGACGACACAAGGAAGAGAGTCCGTCCAGGACGTGGCAGGGAGGGGTTACGAGTAGTGAGGGCGGGGGGGGGCGGGGGGTGCGNAGGAGAAAGAATGCTGAGTTGCATCCAAAGAACACCATACCTACTGTGAAACATGGGGGTGGAAACATCATGCTTTGGGGCTGTTTTTCTGCAAAGGGAGTCCCTTTGCAGAAAAACAGCCCCAAAGCATGATGTTTCCACCCCCATGTTTCACAGTAGGTATGGTGTTCTTTGGATGCAACTCAGCATTCTTTCTCCTCCAAACACGTCTAGTTGCGTCTTTACCAAAAAGTTCTATTTTGGTTTCATCTGACCATATGACATTCTCCCAATCCTCTTCTGGATCATCTAAATGCTCTCTAGCAAACTTCGGACGGGCCTGGACATGTACTGGCTTAAGCAGGGGGACACGTCTGGCACTGCAGGATTTGAGTCCCTGGCGGCGTAGTGTGTTACTGATGGTAGCCTTTGTTACTTTGGTCCCAGCTCTCTGCAGGTCATTGGCTAGGTCCCCCCGTGTGGTTCTGGGATTTTTGCTCACCGTTCTTGTGATCATTTTGACCCCACGGGGTGAGATCTTGCGTGGAGCCCCAGATCGAGGGAGATTATCAGTGGTCTTGTATGTCTTCCATTTTCTAATAATTTCTCCCACAGTTGATTTCTTCACACCAAGCTGCTTACCTATTGCAGATTCAGTCCTTTGACAGCTCTTTGGTCTTGGCCATAGTGGAGTTTGGAGTGTGACTGTTTGAGGTTGTGGACAGGTGTCTTTTTTTTTAGTTTTTTTTTTTTTACTGATAACGAGTTCAAACAGGTGCCATTAATACAGTTAACGAGTGGAGGACAGAGGAGGCTCTTAAAGAAGAAGTTACAGGTCTGTGAGAGCCAGAAATCTTGTTTGTTTGTAGGTGACCAAATACTTATTTTACAGAGGAATTTACCAATTAATTCATTAAAAATCCTACAATGTGATTTCCTGGATTCTTTCCCCCCATTCTGTCTCTCATAGTTGAAGTGTACCTAGGATGAAAATTGCAGGCCTCTCTCATCTTTTTAAGTGGGAGAACTTGCACAATTGGTGGCTGACTAAATACTTTTTTGCCCCACTGTAAGTGTTTAAATGTGTACAAAACCAACAAAGTGTAAACACATAAATTGTTCATATAAACAGATGTGTTCCCATCGTCTGATTTATCTGAAAGAGACCATCTGGCGTTGTCAGTCATGTTCAGTTAAAATTAAATAAAAGGCATGGGACAAGAATCATTGTGTCCATGTAATTGCTTCCAAGCGTGAATGGATTTCCTCTGCCTGATGATTAATTGCTTGTTAGTGCACACTGGTATTGATCTAGGTACACATTTGCCTTTGTACAGTAAGTAGTACACCCATGTTCTACTTGTATATGGTATTAAGCGGGACCCATCCTTACCTGCATTTGATCAATAGGAATCTCAAAGCTGAAGGACTCGTTGTAGTACGGATTCAAAGTGTTCTTCTTCACTGTGGTCTTCTTCTTCTTCAGCTTCTTTCCGTTCTGCAGCAGGTTAATTTTCACATAGGGATCTAAAAACCAGAAAGAATGTCAAATCGTGTCAAAGCTGATTTAATGTTGTTTTAAACATGATATGGCATTTAATCACGGCAGCATTTAGCTGTATCTGGGTAGAATTCTCCTGATCAGATATTCAGAATAAGCTTCCCCCCTCTTTTATTTCCAATAGGGCTGAAATAGAGGGACATGAGATGAGGAATGTCTAAAATGCATGATCAGTCTGGTATTTTGAGCAAATATATATGCCTAAAAAATATATATACTACCTATAATATATGCCTAAAAATAGCATGATAGGAGATCTTTTGCAGGGCAAGTGCTGCGAGGACCAACAGATGGGGCCAATGCTGAACCCCAAGGGGGGGGGGGGGGGGGTGGAGCTGCTGCATGGAGCACTGCAGCGTCGCACATGAGCACAGCGCCCTAATGGCTGCGCTCTCAGGCACGTTCCTGTTTACTCTGCAGTCACGCTGCAAGCTCCCACATTACACACTAAGCTCTTGTGATATTTGCCAAATTCTGAACCCTGAAATAGATTCAAATGCGACAGTGTGGAGATGAAATGCAGGAATCTGATGCTCATGTACCTGACAGTCCTCCCACGTCCATTTTCTTCAGGTTCTTGGCCTCCAGAATACAGATGGTGAGTTTGCCAGCCGTGGGGACGTAACGCAGGGAGATGCAAATGTCTCCAAGCTTCTCCGGCTGTGAGGAGGAGGGATGAGGAGAGAAAGTTAAAGCAGGTCTGACGCAGAATAAATGTCTTGGCTGTGCTGGAAAAAACTCACAAACGGCCCCTTCGAAATCCCATTTAAAACATTCACTGTCAATACAAACAATTCCTGCTGCCATTACTTGTCTTAGCAGCCATTACTAGTATTCTTAAGTACAGCTCGTTGGCCTTTTCAAAGTTAATAACATTTGTGAAACAGCAAGCAAATGTAGAGTGATTATTACATCTCAAGGTGGCTCTGGGGAGGTTTCATTGATTAAAAGCTGTTTTTCATAATCTGGAACAACATAATGGTGATAAAAAGCAACGTGAGCGTCTGCATGGAGACAGAGGACGACTAGAAGTTTGTCCTTCAGCCCTCTGAGTCCTTCTGGGAAACAGAAAACATGCTACCTTGTCCCCGTGGTTATTTTTGTATTATCTAAATCAGATATTCAGGTTGCTCTAAATAGTAAAAAGTGTATTTGAGTTCTAATTATTATATTTCAGGATGTTTAACATGTTGCATTATGACTACAGTTTGCAAAGTATATGAGATATCATCTGGTGGTTAGTTACTATTTACACATCTGTCAGTTACAGGGTGACATTGTGATTCATTTGGGATATTGTGTGTGGCCACATGGTGGATGTAAGCCCAATATTTCCACTAATTCTTCTGATCAACTTACTTGCTCAATACTCCACTATGTTTACCAACTAGTCTATATGTACAATTTCATTGTTTGAAATGTTTTGTTTGTTTTGAGGTCTTTTAATGCTATCTGTATTCTGTGTGAGATACATTTTCTGTGAAATGTCTATGTGAAGCACTTTGGACTGCACTTGTTGTATGAAAGGTGCTATACAAATAAAGATTATTATTATAACTGTGTTTGTCTGTTGTTTGGTGTTGAGCAGGTTTGGTAAAAAACCTGCACCTAATAGAGCGATGAGAGAGAAGCTCAACAGCAAAGTAAAGACATACAATTTTACATTGAGCGGAAACCCAATTTAAAGCTCTGCAAAGTCGATGGGAGCTGCAGATTCAGAGGGTGATTCTCAACACATTCACACTGTAAACATATAAATGAAAGCTTTCTTATAATCAACACATTGTTTCTGCCCTTAAATATCAATTGAAGTAAGTATTAAGCATTAACAGTTATACGTCACTGCAGGACTCTCACCTCCTCTTGATCGGCGCTGTCCAGGTCCTTCCACTCCTCAATTGGCTTGGCCAGGTCCAGGGTGTTCATGGGTATTTTAATCTCTCCAATAACATCATGTTTAGAGAAGCGATCGAAGTCGTAGACGCACATCACCAGTGTCTTTCCTCCGATTTCTTGGAATGGAATCTAGAGGACAGAAAGTAGTCCCGTTTCACCCATCTGTGTCGTTTGTAGGAGTTGCCCTATTTTTTTTGACAAATCTTGGTGCAGATAAGATCAGAAATATATATGGTTTATGACTTTGGCCTGGAGCTGAAAATGGCCTTGACTTAATAACAGGCAGCTTCAAAAGAGCTCGTCTGACTTTGACAAGGAAACGGATTTCTTTTTTATATAGCGCTGTGTCAGCAGGAGGCAATGAGGTGGCCTTCTCCTTTAATTTGATTCTCTACCACATTCTCCTTCAATATGTCGGCTGCAATTTTTTCATCACTGCTGGCCAGAGGTGTTTGAAAGCAGCTTCTTAAAGCTGGCAGACATAGAGGAAGACAGGAGGAACATTTCTCCTCTAACAGGACCTGTCTGAATCAAACGGCTTGTGTTTAATAAGTAATAGGTAAAAGGTTGGTCGTGTTTCAGCTTACCTTGAAGCCAAAGGTCTCGTTGAAGACGGGGTTGAGCGTTTTCTTGTGAACCTTTGTGTCGTACTTCTTCTTCTTGTCGGGGAGGACGAACACCTTGACGTAGGGGTCGGAGGTTCCACCGCTGTCCATGGAGAGGAGATCAGCTGCTTGGAGGATTCCCACAGTCAGCTGGGGACAAAAGGAAGAGATTAAAAGTCACTGCGCGTTTCCCCGAGCTCAAACGCAAAAGCCCTTCACTGTGTGCTTGATCCTGTTTCTCTATTTCCATAATGAACCATGAAAGAACAGGTCAAAGGCTTTTCATTTGGACGAATGGACGAAAATGTAAAATAAATGCCTTGTTCTCCTGGAAGTCGTAATCGATGGAGTACTGCAGCTTGCCGAGCTTCTCTTTCTCCTTGACTTCTTCCTCTTTCTCGTCTCCGGTCAGTCCAGGTTCCACATCGTCCTCTTCATCATCATCATCCTGGTTTTTCTGAACAGAGAAAAAAGGGGACGGGCGGCAGAAGAAGAAGGGTGAGAGGGAGTTTGTGAGGTGGCAGCCGTGCTGAACACTAAACCTCGGGCATCAGCAGTCGGTTAGCCACAGCACCTACCTGCCACTTACCCCCGTCACCCCTGCTGCTAGTGCAATCAGTTCATCGATGACCACGGTTGCAACCTGACTTGATTTCACTATTTCTTGGGTGACACCATTTGCTGTTTTATATTTTGGTTTGATCAAATCTGATACAATCCGATGTAGGGAATTTCTCTACAAGAAAGTGTACAAATGCCATTTTAATATAACTATTTTGTGTGTAAAGAGTGGAGAGAGACAGAGATAAAAGGCCAAGGGTGAGAAATTAGAGAGAAACAACATTACATACATAGTCAATATGCAGGGGGGTGGACAGAAAAACAGGAACACCTTATAATATACTGCAATCTTACACAACAGCCATGCAAAAACCTCTGGGAGTTGTCAAATTGCACTCATAAATCAGTGGTTCTTAAAACTTGTATATGGATTTACTTGTGTAACTGCCTGTAATTGTAATGGGGTTGGATAAAATAAGAGGAACATGACATAATGGGATTTGTTAGGATTGTAAAGGGACTGCATTGCAGTTAAACAGGCAGATACACAGGCAGCTACACAATCATAAAAAAACTCAACCAAAATGAGTCATATGAACTTTTTTAAAGTCTACAAAATGGTGCCTACGTATCCCACACAGCACAACGCTGCATCAGCAAAGATGAGCAAGAGCTGACGTAGGGACATTATGGGATGTTTTCTCAACAAAATTCTGTCCTTTGGACACAAAAGTGAGCACTAGTATTTATTGCAGAGCTTTTGCACTGCATAGCACTTTAGAGCAAGGTGTTCTTGTTATAGTGTCCGCCCCCCGTGTACAGCCTTTCAAACAGGCGCTGTCACAAGAAGCAGCGCGTCCTTCCCGAGAGGAACTGGAGGACAGCGCTCTGAGGGATAGATGTGATTTGATGAAACCCCTGACGAAGTCGTTCCTGACACTTTGTCTTGAAACGCTCTGAAACTTTGGTGGCGAATTTCCTCTCACTGATAATATGAGCTGCTAGACAAACAGCTTTATTTCAGGCCAGACAATATTACTGTTTGCTTTCAGTTGATTATTGTGTGCACACTTGTGCTGCTGATAGGATTCTGCTGCTCCAGCCTGATTATTGTAGTTAACTGAATTGCTGATGTGATTTAAAACCTCCAAAACAGAGAGCAGATTTTTCCGGCTGATACTCTAATGTGAAATATTGTGATTCTTGATCATGTGCGGGAATAGAAATCTGCAGTTTACTGACAGTTAAATGCTCCTGAGATAATTGAAGATGGATCAATCTTGCTTTTACATCACACCAAGAGACTCTTCAGATTGTCATCTTTTTAGAGGCGGCCGAGACTAATCGAGTCAAGGCAATTTGCTCTGATATGAATATTAAAGTAAACTTTCATTTTTGATACTGTATGAATCTGGATGGTATCTCGGTATGGCCTACTTTCCTATGGCTGTCTTCTTGAAAAAACACTGATGTCCTCGTAAGAGTGGAGGGTCCAGCTACTCACTGATGAGCTGGAAGAGGAACAGGGCACACACACAGATAATACACACACTATCACACCCACTGCACACCATACTGTACTGCACACACACACTCACACACACACACACTTGCTTACATGCAGGCTCTCATGCATGCTTAAAACCTCCATTACTCTCTCTCTCTCTCTCTCTCACACGCATTCTCACACAATATCCTTTTATGTGGCATTCTCTATCTTCATTGTGTTAAATGCTTTTCATTCAAGCATGCCAGGCCACACAATGCAGGATCCAAGTTTCCTTCTGACGGCAAATGTAAAATGGATTACCTTATTTATGAAGACAGATTTCATAATTTCTGGTATGTTTCTTATCTTTGTTTTTTCAAACCTCTGTGAGAAATGTGTTCTGAGTGAAATGTACACATCCATGGCAGAATCATGCTATAATGAGAATTTTACGGTTGTTTTCAAACTTCCTGTGGGGGTTCAAAAATAAAGACATGGTTTGTCTGAATGTATGCCCTTTGGTCAACTCAATGGGATGAATTGTGGGAGGTTTTATCAAAGGAAATATGTATTTTAAACAGCTGGTTGACTGTAAATTAAACTTTGAAACGACTGAAATTGTCGGCAAACATTCTGGCCCACCATTTCTCCTCAGTGAAACCCGTGCTTCAGGGAGAGAGGGGGGTCGATGACTGTCACCTAGTATGTCAGCAGCATGGGTCATCCAGGAAAGTTACTCTCAAGTCAAGTTGTGGCCATTCAATGGTACCTACTGCAAGGGAATATGCTGGTCTTTGTCAAGAGATACAGACAGCTTTATCTGTCGTGGAACTCGGAGCGTGTTTGCACAGGTGTGGCGCAGCGTGTGAATTTCAGACCAAAATTGTCTTATAATTTGTCAATTTTTTGGGTTGCGTTAAACAATCGAGGCCTGGTCATGGTGGAAACATGCTCAAAGCTCTCAGTTTAGGTAAAGTTCCCGCTTATTATTTGACAAATACCCAGCTTACCCCTTGCACATGCATGCTAGTGATCTCTAGTGAGTTGCTGAGTGCACTCGTCATTCAAAGGCTCAATCGTAGGATGAGATTTCATTTCAAACCACCTAAACACATCTTTGCTCTATAGTTTTTTCAAAAACATTGCAATCTCTAAGTATTCAAGACATAGCAGTCGGTGCGGCATATCAGTTCAGTAGATTTGTTTGCGAAGCAGCTTAAAATCGCTCCCATAGATTCCTCAAGCACCCGCGGCAGCTAAGCTTGCACAATTCTAAGAAAGCCATAGCACTCATTGTCATCATCACTGCAATCCAACCCCTTTCAAGCCCCAACACCACCCCCCCCACCCCCAACCACCACCGGTCTGCGCTTACTCAGAGCGGCCAGAGAGGGGCGCCTCGTGCTATCAGACCTACCGTAGGCAAAGAAGTCCACCACAGTCAAGATACACGGAGCACACATAAGACACAAAGCAGGAAGGAGGAGAGCAGAGACAAAGGAAGAGATTGAACTCACAGCAGACACCAAAGAAGTGTAATCACAGCAAATGTAGTCAGCTACACTGTAGGCAGCGCGGAAAATGACAGATAGACAAGCCTCCTCATTAGCACAGTCATATCTAGCAGGGCCGCTCAAACCACTCCACGTTTAGATTATACTTATTGTCAATGTCGTCAATCATGTATGTGGAAAGGAATAATAATTATAGGCCCGAGAACAACAGCATTGTGCTAACTGCTAATTTTCATAATTACTCTTTAATGACTAGGGGAAACAATGGCTGGGCTGAATAGATAAGAGTCCTGTCATTTTCCACTCAAAGCCCAAAGCATAAGTGAGAGAGAGAGCAACAATAACATTAATGACAAATACATTAAATAACTGAAAGAAAAGAAAGATAAAAATGAAAATAATCATGGTGGATAAAGAACATAATTAACACCTGCGGAGAATACACTGACTGGGTTAGAAAGCCAACAGAGTCTGTAGACATAATATGAAATCTAATACATTTTAAATAGGAAACTAGGATAATATATGTATCACACAAGGGCTACTGCTGTCATATGATTAGCTGAGGCAAACATACAGTATCATGGCATGCATGTTTTCTCTCTATTCCCGTATCAAAGCCCCATAGCTGTTACATAATCCGCTCATAAACAGGTTAGCTGTGCTTTGCTTCGTATACAGTATACGTGTAAATCCCCTCGGCCGTGATGTGGCCTCCCGCGGAAAAACATACCTCTCCCCCTTTCAGGTTCTTCATTCCCATCTCCCCCTTCCCCTTCTTGCCCTTCTTGTTCTTCTTCTTCTTGCAACAGCATTTCTTGATGATGCAGAAGCAGCATGTTAGAATGAGTAAAGCAGCGACCACGGCAATGGCAATGATGGCCCAGGACGGCACTGAGGAGAACATACAGACCGATGTATAGATGGCACATCCACACCCAGAAAGAGAAGAGAGAAGCAAATACTTTGACATTTGACCAACCAATCATTTAGCCTACTTTCATGTCATGTCCTGGGCCAAATATATTTAGTAAGAGGTGCAAGATTAGCAATTACATTGGGTGAAAATTAGATTTCGCTGCCATTAGGAAGGGCAGCCAGTGATCAATACTGAATAAAGACATTATGAGGCTGCCAATGCCCCGCAGCTAAAGAGTAAATCTCATTCCGAAATCATTGCTCGGAGTCACATTAATACAAGTTGGTTGAACGGAAGAGGATTGGTGTTTTGTGTGGCACTCACGTGGGATCTTGTCGATTTCATTGAGGAATTTGTTTTTGATCTCGTCGAAGCCATCGTTCTTCTCGACGGGCTCGGTGGAGTTGTCAGTGGAGACTAATGCGTCAAGGGCTGGAGTCACAGTCAAAGCACTGGCTCCCGTTGGGTCAGCAGCTACCATGGGCGTTGTTTGGTGCTTGAACAAGTTCCACTTCGTCATTTAGGCTGCACACAAGGTCCCTGAAAAACAGCAGGAAGACACTTTGATTAAGAAAGGCCAGAGTCATTGTTACGTGTGTCAAAATCCACATGCATTGAGGCATCAGTCAAGTCATTTGTAGTAGTTTGTGTCCCAATCATCTTTTGAAAAAGAGACAGCATTCAAGTTTGTTGTGCACATATTTGTTTAAAGCTATATTTAAAAGGAGAAAAAAGAATAATAACACACACATTATGAAGTACATAATGACACATCCATCAGAAAAATACAACCATAAAATCCATCAGCAAAATCCATTAATCCAAAAAAAAAAAAATTAAATGATGGAATTGTTTATGGCGGATTTCCAAAATGCCACTCGTCATGGTTTGTTTAACTTGAGCACTCTGATGGATGGAGAACATTTGCTGAGTATCTTGTTAATAGTGTTTTTTTTTTTTAATAAAAGACTGGCATCTTAATTAATCACGAAGCAGAGCCACTTCACTCTCAGTCTTCTGAAAGTCTCTAAATAATGAAAAGGGATCAAAATGGTCATGTAGCTCAGGTGGTAGAACAGAGTTTGGTTGTTTGATCCAAGCCCTGTCTACACGTAGAAGTCTCCTTTAGTAACAACAATTCACTTAGAAGTTTGTCTGCATGGTAGACAATGTAAGTGATGTGTTGTTGCTTTGTAGCACTGTATCTCCGAGAGGATCATATTGCATGGGAGACACATAAATGATATGTCCTGGTTTCGAGAGAGTGTCTCTTCAAAAGGTCCACGCCTGATCCATTAATCCTTTCTTGTACATCTGCCACAAGAGCAAACACAGACGGACAAACAAACAGAAACTGGTTTTGCTCATTTCCACTGATGTCTCTCCAGTTCCATTAATGCACAAGCTTGTGAAATAAAGGAGTTTTTGTTCAGCTCTATTTATTCAGGAGGTCTGTTTGATAGCAAGACTTTTTTTTTCAAAGGTAGACCTTGAAACAAGTAAACAAAATCACTAAAGGGCAATTAATTCATACACAGCAGTCATCATACCCAGTCACAGTAATTAAAATATTTAAAAACACTAATACAGATAGGAACAAGCTCCACTTGTTTATACATGAGTCCTCCGGAGGAACTAATGTCTTTAGTGTCAGTTTGTTCCACAGTCTGTTCTAGTATTGAGGTCTTAATAGAAAATAAAATGATACGGATAACACTTTTTTAGTTTTCTATTGAAGCTTTTGAAATACTGTTCTGGATAATGTGGCGAAAGGTAAACAGCTGCAGCTCTAATATAATATGCAGAAATATGCACAAAGGCAGTACACACACACACACATTTCTGATTGTATCTTCATACTACAAAGAAATTAAATTCCTTTTATGTTCCATATGATGCTTAAACGTATCAAAAATATCATATTTTCTACAAAGGCGGCAGCGGTATAACACAGATTCAATTATCATTAAATAGCTAATATATGTTATGACTAATAAAGGAAGGTATTTTATGACACGAGTGACACATTTACTGAAAATGGTTGTCAAGATATCTGTTAATCTGACATATTGTCTTCTGTATGATTAAGTGTCATATCATAAGAGCTTCACACTTATCCTCCATGACAATACAGGAAGTGCCATATACTGAGACAAAGTTTTTTTATGACCCAGCCAAGGTCTGAACCCTTTTGGATTTGTTACATTCAATCAATTTCCACTGAGGAAGTGCACAAGAATACATTTCATCAAATGATGGATTATTACATCTACACCAGAGTCTGCCACTTTCCAACTTTAGTGTTGTGAGGGTCACTGGACAATGATTTACTGACAGTAGTTATGAGAAATAACTATCAATTCTCATGGTTTTTGTCTGGAGCCTGTACTCAGGTCAACAGTGCTTGACCAGGAAAGATGTTTAACCGTATAAATGAACAACTACAAGCCGGTCTCCGGTGGTGTTTCCGCAGGCCAAACAAATGTTCAATCAGAGCTCTTATCGGTTCCAGAAATCACAGTGTGACAAGTGCAGCTGAAAGCAGCCTGCCGACAGAGTGATGAGTGATCGGGCGAGACCTCCATTCAGAAAGCAGAAAAAGATGATAAGCATAACAAGAGGTTACTTCTGCTGTTGATTTTATTAGATTTATCTTTATATGGGCAAAAAATAAGAGCGGAATATCCTATTTCTCAAGTGCCAATTCTCCAAGTTGGTGCCAGAGATTCTACCTCTATTTATTGCGGCGTATAAATTATTTAAATTGAGTCTGACAGCGGGATGGATGAGCTTATATTATTAAAGGGGCCAGAGCAGGTTTTAAATATCTTAAAATATAAGTATCTTTAGTGCTGCCGTTATGTAGGCTGGTGTTAAACACCCAACATCGTATATATACTGAGATGGAAACTGAACCACATGCACTCTTTAGAGTTCTCGAAAACATTTAGAAATAAGTATGATCCTCAATAAATCATCAATCAGAGACCTCACTGTCTCCACTCTCTATTTAACATTACTTTAGATATTGTGACTTGTTAAAAACATCAAATTTAAATCGGATGTTTATGTGCATTTTATCCGGTGCGCCCCCTCACATCAGACCAGGCCAGACCAATTAAATTAACATTCATGGATATGTGCTCCAACATTTTATCTCCTCCACTCTGAGGGCGACAGTGAGGACGGACAGAGAGGACACAGACCTACGCTTTTGTTCTATGACAGCCATTAGTCCTGCTTCACAGTCAGCTATTAGTGGTCACTCCAGACAAATCAACTATATAAATCCCTTTTTCCTTTGAAGAAGGAAGTGTTAGTCTTTTGTTGTAAATTATCTGCAGACTGAGGCTGCAAAAACGTACAGGATTTTTATTTCAACAAACTTAACCTACTGAATATCAAGTAGACCAATCATGAAATCTCTAAACAGAGGGAAAAAATGCTAGGTATTAAATCTAGCTGGTTTTATAACCTAAAAAGATTCTACTTAGGAGCTTTAAAATGCATAACTGTGGGGCTAATGTCCGCATGCTAACAAGCTAACAAGCTAACAATGACAATACAAACGTGGATGTTTAGCTAGATTCATTTTAACCATCTAAGTTTAGTTTGTTTGTATTCTAACATTTTCTAATGATCTGTAAACACAAAGTATAGCTGAGGCTCGCAGATTTGATTATAAACCCGAGTATTGGATACATTTCATGTTTACGCAAATGATGGTGGAATATTAACATTTAAAGTATGCCGTTTTATTGTGGTATGGGGAAACGTATAACTAAGGACTGTAGAGGAAATGTCAGGGAATCAACAAAGTCACTAGGAATCATCGTCTTAGGCGTACAAATGTCTGTACCACATTTCAGAGCAATCCATCAAATGATTTTGAGGTATTTTAGTTGGGATCAGTGGTGGACCAGCAAAATACATTGCAATCAGGCTTTCAATTTAGATGGATGCTGGAATATGCATGCAGAAAAAAAAAAATAAGATAGATAGCTGCAAGCTCGTATTAAGTGATAATAAGCAAGGCTCTTTATCTCCATTTGCTCCCGTTTCAACAGTGTAAGTGTGGAGCAGGGCGATCCCAGAGCAAGAGCATTCATGCACACGAGACGTTCCCTGTGACGAATGCAAGTTAAAAATAGACCTCTTATCCAATATGCATTCCATGTTATACTCGATTACTGAAAATCTCTGGGAGTTTTGAGCTCCATCTCCCTATGTGCGTCTCATTTTGTTCCTGTTTGAGTCATCAGTATGTGTTGAAACAAAATGGTTCGGCTTCCCGGCCCTGAGCAGCGCGGCTATGGGTATGATCTGGCCTTATCTCTCAGCACACTGCTCGGGGTTGGATGGGGATCAAGCACGTTTATCTTTGGTGCACGAACAAACAGGGTGTAGCAGCCACACGTAATAACACAGTAGATTTACTGAGAAATGAAATGTGATACATAAAGGTTTAACGTGTCACATAAAGTCACTGGAGGCTCATGAAGGTGAAAGCAAACTGCATTCTTTTTTTATTTTAAACAAACCACAGTCTTTGAGGACCAATCAGAGGGAACTGGCAGAGGCTGTGTTGTGTGGTTCTCTAATTTCAAAATATTGTTTTCAAGAAAACATCCCTCTTCAAATGGATTAAACAAAAACACTGAATTAATAAACCCAAATTCAAAAATACCTTCTCCATCACAAGGGAACGGACATTACATACAGTATTTAAACTGAGTAATCATTTGTAATTAGTGCTTTCAAACAAATAATTCTCTATCTTAGCTATTTGCACCTTCTTCTATGTCATTTGTAAAGATTCAATGTCAGAAAACAATAAAAAATGATGACTTACTTTGATTTGTATCATTAGAACATAGGAAAACATCTTTCACAGCTTTGATGTGATTTCAGTTGCAGCATAATTTAATGTTTTCCAGAGGAGATGAAAGGAAATAAGAGCTGTACTCCAATTAGGGGCGTTTCTGGTTCATGACTGGGCGTTTTAACCCCTAAGCTACAGGGATGCACATTGCAGAATATTTAATAGGCGGAACTTGAATGCAGTGAATAAGAGTATGAGAGATATATCGTTAATCCGACTCATGCACCCTAATGGAGTATCACATCATATGTTGTCTTCATTAAAGCAAAATATGAGTCATTTAGAAACACTCAAAGAAGCCTACAGGCTAAGTGCTCTTACTTAATTACCTCCCACCTGTCAAGCTTTAATTATAATCAGTACATGTCCTTGCTCTCACATGACAAAGAAACGCTGATTCCTTGTCTGATGTGACGTGTGATGACCTACTGACCACATTATGTGACATCCTCTCCAGTGACAGGAAACCCCAGCCTGCAGATGTGACAGCGGGGGGGAGGGTTTATCGCGGGGTTATTAGCACCCAGGTCAGATACAAGAGAAAACAACCTTAGGAGAGTGAGCTAAAGTCATGCAGCTGTTTCATTAAACGACAACATGTACCCTGAACAGCAATTCATTAACAATCTCCTACCAGACATCCATTGTTTCCTCATGC